TAAACCTCATGTGTCACAATAAATGAGACAGTGTGGAGGTCAACATACCAATCTGGTGAGTACTCACTGTTTAACACAATGTGACCCCTCCCCCCCTACTTTTGAAAAATCTTGGCTATGCCCCTGCACCCATCATCATGAAAGAGAAGCAATACTTCAGGTTGAAACTGAGATCAAGCAGCACTTCCAGAGGAAACTAACCTGGTCTATTGGGTCTGTGGATTTTCTGTACTTTTAATCTAGGAACAACTTCTAAATCAGCCAGCTCATCCTGTGTAGAGTAATGGAAGTAAACATCTTGGATCAACACCAAGAAAACAAGTAAACAATGAAATGAAACAAAGCATACAACCAAACAAAACCCAGACATGTCTTAACCTTTGCCATGGCTAGGTGTGATTGTAGAGTACGTTTGTTTTCACGATCCCTAAAATATTAAAAGCAAAGAATCATTCACTGGATGTACACAGTATACATGTATATCACACAATTGAAGTTTTAATTTAAAAAAATGAAACATTCTGGGTATGATCCAAGGAAAAAGTTAACCTACTTTATGGATGCTAACAGAGACAATGTCTGCAAAGATGACTCCTCAAAGCCTCCCTGTATCTTAATAAAAAGAAATAATTTCAACATAAGTGAAGTAATGGTAGATAAATTGATTTCCAGATTGTTGTCATATAAAAGAAAGAGAATCAACACTAGTTAAATCTTCATAGCATTAAGTGACTAGGATTCAAAGCAATTTCTTTAGGTTACCTTCCGACAATTTTTAAGGCTTCTCTCACATTTTGCCAGAACTGGTTTATCCTCCTTAGTGGAGAGAGGCCCAGAGAGAGTTAAATGTCATACCCAAGATCACAACACAATGAAGGTAAATAAGCATAACAACAAATAAATAAACTAACAAAGAAAACAGTGATCTAGCCCAATCATAAACCTGCAGCTCTTGTCCCAGAATCCAGTGCCTTAACTGCAAGACTGCTGCATCTCCTTTAGATAAGGTATACACAGAAAGTAATTGTTGTAAAGATCAACTTACATGTGTGCTGTGTACAGCTGGAGTAAACAGAATAGGTTTTGGTCCTAATGGTGTGGTTGTTTGAAGCCGTGTGTATTTACTAGGAGGATGAAAGAGAGATGTAGGAGACACCATGTTGGGATCTGAAAAACAAAACACAACAAATTACTCATTTCTAAATCACGCAAAGGCTATTACAGTAAACGCATACTTGCTAAAACATTTGTGTTTAGAATCAAAGTGACCACAAGAGTTAAACTTACCAGCACATGATGATGTATTCTGCTTCACCCATTTCTGAATTCTCTTTTCCGCACTCTTTGATTCGTCTTTGTTCTTTCGTTCAGCACCCTTGGATAAAACAAAATAGTGTATTAACCCTTCACACCCTAGCATCAGTATGCATATTCTCCATACTGGGATAAAGGGGGTTAGTTTCTAAAGAAACTGTGGCGCTGTGTCGGTGGGAGAGTATGACAGGGTGATTTGATATTATCAACTGAGTTGATAACATAAACTGGCCACCGTAAAGAGTTTAAAGGCTGATGTTTTGAGTGTTAGCCCTTTGTCAAAGTGATCATTCTCCTTACTGTTCTCCATAAATTTCCAAAGAGGCTGACAAGGAGAATTGATTAACAATCAAGAGCTGCTTTAGTTGGTGATCATCTCCTCTATTCTCATGAATTACATGTTTGATTCAGGGGTGATATTGTGAGGAGAAATTAGATTCTAGTCTCTCTTAGGGGCTAAAGGGTTAAATTGAGGAAGGACAAAGAAAAAGCATGGTGAGAAAAACAATTAATGAACCATGTATATGCATGAGCATTGTACCAACCAGTTCTTCCAACTACATCTGTTGAATATTTCATGATGTTCACCAGTAAGAAGAAGAACCACTTACTTTGTCACGGAACACTTTTATCTGACAGAATGACCTGTGTACAGGTTCTGCATCTGGATTGGTTATATCTTCATATGTATCGATCTGGAGATGCAGTGGAATGCCCTGAAGGAAATACAACAAAAAGACAAAGTTTAGGCAAAATTTCTCGAGAAAGATAAACAGCACAGTAGATCTATTCAGCAGCTAATACTGCTAAACTTCTGGTCTCAAATCAGCCAGCTTTGATACCCTAAAATGATAACATTATGCATTACAATGCCGAGACAATTCAGGCTTGTTCTCACTTATGACAGGGGCCACACTGACATCAAAAGCACAGAAAAACACAGAGGGATGCAATGTAGTGAGAACCAAGCTAATGAAAACTGGCGCAGAATGTCAATGCCATTTGAAAGTTTGCCTCTTGAAATCTGGCCAAAACTACATTGTTCCAATCATAAGCACTAGGAGGGCCTTAGAAATGGTACTGTGATTGGTTAGTTTTTCCAAAACGACTTGCAACTTCAGTAATGTTCACCATGTACTTTGCCCTGGATCATATGCATTAGGGTGAGAAGTTTAACTGAATGGTAATAGGAATGCTATGACTCTTCCAAATGCAGTTCTGTTGATTTTATCACTTCTTTTACAACTCTGAAGTTCTATTTTTAATAAGTCATAAGCACTGTTAGAACAGTACAACTCTGACTAGAAGACTGTTACCTGTGAAAACCAACCTTCAAACAGAAAGAGGAAATTAAATACACACCTTCACTCCCTTCTGAGAGGAGAAATCAGTACTCAGGCAGTTTATCCTTATTACTATTTTTGCATTCAAGTGAGGGCTCCATGTAAACCCAGCTGCGTTGTATGATATCTCATCTATGTTGTCTTCTATATTCTGACAAGACTTGCGATCTGAACAAACACATGAAAGAGGAAATATCACGCGTGTATGACTGTGTTCAAATGACCCAAATAGAGAAAAGACAAAAGGAAAGCATTAAAAAAAGAAATAAACATTGAAGGAAAGAACAAAGGAAAAACTATTAACCTTTTAACTCCCAGATCAAAATTGAAGTTCTCCTTAATATCAATCATGGAATTCATATAATGTTAGTTCAGAGAATTTAGTATTGGATCAACTAATTATCCCCAAATTGAAATTTTTCTCAACTCTCATCACTTATCTGTTTGATATTGCATTGATATTGTAAGGAGAAATTCTGTCTTGGTCACTAATGGGAGTTAAAGGGTTAACAACACAAGAGTTATGAATCATTTAATCTATTCTTTTTTTTCCAAACTATACAGGTGTGGAAACATTCATATCATCATTGCAACAATAAAGTCAGAATGTTTTTTTTTGGTATGGGAAGCTAACATTCCTACTGTCATATAACGTCTTGCTCTTTTCGTTTTCTTTTTTTTTTTTTTTTGACAATTCCTTCTACATCAAGTTAAAAGTTACGATACAGTTGCTGTACTTACCTATATCAAATGCTCTTTGTTGGGGATTAGGTTGCTGGCTGTGCCAATATTGCCAGTGTTCGCATTCTGTTCTTGGATCCTTCTCATCACGGAAAACCAAGTGAACATAAGACTGCAATAAGAAAAACAACTACATTTAAAATTGTGAAGAAAGGATTGTGATTATTCAAAATTAATCCTTTTACTCCTGTACTTAATGTAAAATCTCCAAATTGTTGGCATGAAAATTAACAGGTAATTTTGTGTTAACAACCAAGTTAAAACATAAATTGACCACTGTAAAGAGTTTAAAGGCTGACATTTTGAGCATTAGCCCTTTGAAAAGAATCTTACTGCATGAAAATTAGTTGAAATTGTACAGAAAAATTACTGTTGGTCCGTACTAGGAATGAAAAGGTCAATAATGCAATATCTCTTTAAGAGAAACTGCAAGTTTTCAGCAAAGTTGTAAGTGAAATAAGGCACAGAAAATTTTTGCTGGAAAGTTGTTTGAAAGAATCCTCATTCAGTGACCAAAACAGATTTATCAAAAAGTAATCTTTAAGTCAGTCCTATATGATGGAATTCTACAAGTCTGTGAAATAGTCAGCACAAATATACCTTCACACGTTGAATTTCCTCCTCAGTCGATGGGGGATCCACATTACCCTCAAAACTTATAGCATAAAATTGACCTAAAGGGATGGAATAAAATATACAGACACATTACTACTACATGAAGGTCTTGACTTTGTATTCAAGTTCTTTTAACCCTTTCACCCCAAAAATCTTATTGATGATTTTCTCCACAATAGCTGCTATACAATCTCTTGTAAATTAGTTACAAGAATTTGGTGTTTAATCAAGATAACACCAACCTGCTAAGTTTGAGTATTCTCATTACCTGTTTGCTGGATAATGTATGTGTATTATAAGGAGAAGTTACATGTCAATCACTTCTGAGAGTTAAATGATTGAGTTTATTGCTTTACTCTCAAATTCTGGCCCATTCAGAAAGACAAACCTTCTTACCTTTGTTAAGATATGTCAAAGTGTCATCTCCTCTTCTTTGTATAATGGATGTAGGTGCCTCAAGGATGAAGGAATACCTAACAAAACATACATTCAAAATGTTTAGTGATGCTAGTAGACATACCTGCAATAGGTGTACCATTTAAATGCAAGTCCTAAAGGTATGCTTACCTATCTTGAGCAGAGAAAACAGTGGGTGTGGATTTCAGTGACTGGGTGTATGGTGTGAAGTTAAATGCCTGAGAAGTAAGATGATGCCATTCATTATAATTGTTCTCATCGGTAAAAGGAATGATATTCATAACATTTCAACCTAACGCATTAAAGAAATACACGACAAGAAGCCAATGAGAATTCCAAGTAAAAACATGGCAACAGACTCAAGAAAAGGAAAGCCTGAGCTGTCAAGTGGCAATGGTTCAAGTTTTACACCTAACTAGTCAAGAGGATCATGCAAGTTTTCTAGACTTCTAAAAGTGTACATTAAAGGGAAGCAAACCCAAACCTAGATTTTTTTTTGAAAATTCAGGTAAAAAGTGCCATTACATGATCATAAGATTTCTCTCTTGGCCCTAGTTGTTTGAAGCATTGATAACTGTATCCACTGTATCCACTGAATAAATCTCTATCCAGTGGATAGAGCAGCATGTTTTGTTAACACTTATCTGCTGGGTAGTGATTTATCCATTTGATAGCATTATCTGGCCTTCATACAACTGGACCTAGGCCTTAAAATGTTCCCCAGCCCTACACTTAAGAATTTAACTTTAATGTGGAATTGTTTAATAGATAGTCAAACTGCAGATGCTAAATGCTGCTGAAAGTGAACCACTTCACTCCCAAGATCTCATTAGTAATTCTCCTGACTATCTGACACATAATTCTTATCATGTTGGTCCAGATAAGTTGTCATTGGATCAACTAACAATCCCTTAACTGGTATCTTTCGTTATTCTCATCACTTTTCAGTGTGATATCGTAACAATACTGTAAGGAGAAATTCTATATTTGTCACTCTTGGGAGTTTAAGGGTAAAAACATTATTTATCTTTGAGCAAATAACCACACAAACAGCTTCATATGTGTAAATGACACTTACCTCAGGGGGGGTGGTGCTCAGGGAGAGTGGTGACACATCGCTTACTTGTTGGGGGGCTTTAGTTGAGGGGGGGTATGAAGAAGGGCGAGCCACAGGTATGGGGGTGTGGCTACAACTTGATGTACTGCAAGTAACATAAGTACAAAATCAACATTTTAGTTCAAGTGAGGGCTTTGCAGTATGTTTTGAGGTAGGTAGCTTCATTGTTAAAGTAGGTGGCTATATTTGCATGTTTAGCGAAGAGAACAGATCAACATCCCCACAAAGTAACCAAGAAAAAGTATAGAGTGGAGGGTATTTCCTCTGTCTACCAGTTAATTTAGAGGAAACATAGAACGGTTATCAAAATAACTACTATCATCTGTTGTTTCCGTAGGTTTTTATAAAGTTGAGAATGAAATGCATGTGTTCTCTAAACCAAGAGTCTATAGTTCATTTACAACACAGGTTTTCACACAACACAAGTTCGATGAAATCAAACAGGTTCATTGTTACAAAAATTCACCTTGGTTGCACTTTAATCTGTTGCCCGAGGGTGAGTGTCTGAAAAATAAAATTTTAAAGATGAGTCATATTGCAAAAATATGCTGTTTCCACAGAGATGAGATTTATTCTTGCCTAAATTAACATATATTTAATTCATTCAGAGCTAAAAAAAAAAATCATATCACATGCTTTGAAACATACCTTGACATTTGGAGTCATTTTTTCTTGTTTGGGAGTAATATGGTGATCACCTTGGACTTGTGTGCTACAACAAAAATATAAAAACAAAACTAAGTAATGTAGAAGCAATGGCTAGGCATGTATCATGTCAGATGGTTTTTCTTTTTATTCTTACCTGTGTTTTGGACTTTTTATTTGCTGCACTGCTTGTAAAAAGCTAAGAGTGGTTTGCTA